CACGGCGGATGATCGATGTCTTCTTTCTTGAACTTATACTAGCCTTACAATCGACTTAACTTAATTTAACTTACAACTAACCCATTTTGCTGTATACCGAGCAATTATTACAGACAAAAGTGCATATTCTCTGTAATTATTTTACAATGGGTTTGCAGCCATTGGCTCGGTATTATCCTCGATTTACAAAACTATCGAGGATAACACCGATTACCAGGTCTCACCACGTGGAGGTTGCTGCAAGTGGAGACCCAAGGAAGATAGATGGTAACACAAGTTCCATCTATCCACCTTTCACAATAATCTTACGACTAACTTAGATATCTAAATACGCTTATAATATAAATATCGAAATCCCTCGGCGGATGGCTTCTTTCTTGAGTCTACCTGAAAATAAAATGAAGATCCCACGGCGGATGAACGACGTCTTCTTACTTGAACTTATAATAGTGTTACAGTAGACTTAACTTAACTAAATAAACTAAGATAAATGAAAGAGGGACAAATGAAATCAAAGTTCCATTGATCGCTCCGTTTAGCTGTATACCCAGCAATTATTAGAAACAAAGGAGTGGCATACTCTCAGAAGGAGAGTATGTTTCAGAGAGTCGATGCTCTCGGAAGGAGAGCATCAATTCTCTCTGATGCAAAGTGGCGAGCAACGCCGGGTGACTCGAAACGACGCGACCGTGTTGCCGATCCTTAGGAGCGGCCCCCTTCCCCCAGATAATCCTTCGGTGGGTCGTGCCGCGTGGCCACCGGAGTGGGCCTCATTACTCCCAACGTGCTGCCCCCAGAGGGGAACGGGGCACGGATTACAGGTGAGAAGGCCCTTGCCGGGGCATCCGTAGAGCGGCCGCGCAAGCACAGACACCGCCCTACAGTCCGTGCCCACCACCCCACCGAACAGATCATTGGTTCGTGGAACCGATCGTTCGGGACCTTCAACACGGCCGATCACTTGCATATTTGCAGAGTGACCGGAAGAAGCGAGGTACGCGAGAAAAAGAAGCTAAAGTACCTAATAACTACTGGGTATACATTACAATGGGTTTGCAGCCATTGGCTCAGTATTATCCTCGATTTACAAAACTATCGAGGATAACACCGATTACCAGGTCTCACCACGTGGAGGTTGCTGCATGTGGAGACCCAAGGAAGATAGATGGAAACACAAGTTCCATCTATCCACCTTTCACAATAATCTTACAAACAACTTAGATATCTAAATACGCTTATACTATAAATATTGAAATCCCTCGGCGGATGGCTTCTTTCTTGAGTTTATTGAAGTAAAATAAATCAAAATAAAGCACAATTAATTAGGATAAATCAAAATAAAACACAGTTAATTAAAATGAATTATATTACACGCAATTAATTATAATAAATCAAAATAAAGCACATAGAATTAAAATAAATCAAAATAAAACACAAGTACCTAATTATAATAAATTAAAATATAACCCAATTAACTAAAATAAATCACAATAAGAAAAAATAAAAAAAACGAACCCCTGAGTCGAGTTCGGATAATAGAGAGGACCCCTTGAACCCCCTTTGACCAGTATCCACCAGTGGTCAGCAGTGGTCAGCAGTGGTCAGCAGTGGTCAGCAGTGGTCAGCAGTGGTCAGCAGTGGTCAGCAGTGGTCAGCAGTGGTCAGCAGTGGTCAGCAGTGGTCAGCAGTGGTCAGCAGTGGTCAGCAGTGGTCAGCAGTGGTCAGTAGTGGTCAGTAGTGGTCAGTAGTGGTCAGTAGTGGTCAGTAGTGGTCAGTAGTGGTCAGTAGTGGTCAGTAGTGGTCAGTAGTGGTCAGTAGTGGTCAGTAGTGGTCAGCTGTGGTCAGCAGTCGTGGGGAGACCTCGTCGAGTTCGGATAATAGAGAGGACCCCTTGAACCCTCCTTGATCAGTGTCCACCAGTGGACAACAATCGAAAAACCTCGACGAGGTCCGCGGACGCGAGTGAACTGAGAATTTTTCATTGCGCGCTCGTATGCATGGGCTCGTGGCGACCGTGAACTTGCGCACACTGGTGCGCGGTCAAATGCGCGAACATTGAGTGCACTGGAAACTCGAGCACACCAAAAATTATTTCTCGATTAATTTATTATTTCTAATAAGGTAATTGTTATAACAATTACCTCTCTGAGAAATATTGTTAAACATTCTGTCAGCTGTCTCGTAATGCAAATTGTTATTGTTTATAACAAATATAAATCGAAATATACAGAAACTTTCAACATATCAACCGTGTAATGAACTTTTACGTGTAATAAATTTTACTTTATTACAAACTATTAAACAATGACTATGTCTTAATGTTTCTGACGATTGTTAACTAAATATTATTTAATGAAAATGTGCCTTGATAGCGTTTTAAACAAGGAATTCATAAAAATTTGTAGAACAGTAGGAATTCTTTGATCGACGTTTGATTGATATTGTCCTTGATAATGACTGTTATAGTTTTCAGAACAATTATTTTTGGTTTTACTCAATTCGCGTGAAATTATTTCACAATAAGTTTAATATTATAATGTTTATAACAATCACATCTTCGGTGGGAGATGTTCAACATTGTATCATCCATTTTACAATGCGAATTGTTAATAAGTATAACAGATAGAAAACGAGATATACAGAAACTTGTCAGATATGAATCGTTTCATGAAGTGCTATATGGAATCAATTTTATTTTATTGCAAATTATTAAACTGACTATGTGATAATGTTCGTAGTGATTGTTAACTAAAAATTATTTAATTCAAATATGCCTTCCTGGAGATTTATGTGAGATATTCGTAAAAATCTGTCGAAAGTAAGAATTCCTCAATCGGCGTTGGATTGTTTGTATCCTTGACAATAAGTGTTATAATTTTGAGCATATAATATTTGGCTTACTTTAAATTATTTTACAATAAATTAAATATTTTCGATAATCTAATATTATAACAATCACAATGCAGATTGTTGATAATTATTGCAATTAGAAATTGAGCTATACCGAAGCTTGTAAGATCTGGATATTATTGAAAAAAATTCAGATTTCTTCCTGTCGTCATGAATTACTTTGGAAAATCTAATTATGCATAAAAATCTACTCTCCATTCATATTGGTAATAAAATAAAATGGTAATGGGGCCACATGGCCCCGGAATCATGATATCAAAAAAAATAAATCATCATACGACAGATCTATTCTACGTCTAATCGATGCTGGTACATTTTTATTTTCCAGGTGGCGTATTTCGGAACACGCTTTCCGTGATTCGCGGCAGAGCGCGCGGCGGCGCATGCGCAGTGCGGCGGCCGCGACTCGAAAATAAGATGGCCGGCCAGCGAAACAAATAGAGCGCCGTTGTAAATAACAAACCGTACGAGAACACGTTCCGGGAAATTGTCGATCGACCGGTCCACGGTATTCATTGTGTTCAGTGATCGTTCATCGACTTTTCGATCGAAACGGTACACGTCCACGAAGGATCTAGTGATCCATCCCCCGGCGGGGATTGTCGTTTTTTTCGTCCGTTAAGAACCGCCACGATACGCGCAGGCAGCGTGTGAATGCGTGACGCGCGTGCACGACCTACGAGGTACCGCGGGCCACGGGGCCCAGCCGAGCCCCCCGGTTCACAGGCACGTCGCCAGGATGCAACTGCGAAAGCGTGGTGATCACACGCCACGTACCGAACCACGGCTCGCCTAGCTCCTCATGCTAGTCTCGTCTTCCGAATTGCTTGGTGCACAGCATGAAGGAGATGCTTGGAGGGTGCTGCGTGTGTTCTGACGAGAGGGGTTGGACTGAAAATCCACTGGTCTATTGCGATGGCCAGGGCTGCACTGTTGCCGTACACCAAGGTGCTCATCGAGCCTTTATTTCATAGCTCTGGGCATACTACGGGTGGTCAATCAGACTGTTGGGCTAACATTTGGTATTTGTTATTGTATCGATAGGGTTTGATGGATCTGTACTACGGGCTAGAAATATTAGAGCCAAGGGGAATGAAATGTATTTGCCAATGACAATGTTTACGTCTTTGATTTCAATGTTTTCAATCAATACTACAGTTGATATATTATGACTAGCCTATGGAAGCTTCAGGCAGATTCACAGTATCAGATAGTAGTGTATGAAAATTAAAATGGGACAGAATTTTGAAACTTAGATTAAGGGTTTTACCACGTTATTGATAACACATAAATGATATTCTATTTTCATAGATAAGGGATGCTATGAATTCATAAGAGTCCACAGATTAGATATGACATTTGAGATATGTCTTGTTTTTGGTCTATTGTATCTTATATTTAGGGAGACAGTAGTGGAGGGAGTTGATTAAAATGTTTATGATCTTTTTGCAGCCTGTTATGGTATCGTCACGGTACCTACAGGGCCATGGTACTGCAGGAAATGTGAATCACAGGAGAGAAGTGCGCGTGTGGTGAGTGGGACTGTATTTGTAGTAACACTGTTGAAGGGAGCATTGAGCTTTCAAACTTGTGATTCATGTATATCAGCTGAAAAGACTATGCAAGGTTACAAAGATGCCATCAGTGCTCCTTTACCTTGTATTAGAAGTCTGTCATACATATAAATTGTCTGTTGGTCAGTGTTTAATTCATTGTTAATATTGACAGCGTTGTGAATTGTGTCCAAGCCGTGATGGAGCTCTTAAGAGGACAGATCAGGCTGGTTGGGCGCACGTGGTTTGTGCGCTCTATATACCGGAGGTACGATTCGGTAACGTGACGACAATGGAGCCGATTATTTTACAACTAATACCATCTGAAAGGTTCAGTAAGGTAAAATCATCTCTCCAGAACCCACTGAGTTATACGATATTACTTGTATCTGACATTGTATTGACATCGGTGATGGTTTCAGTCGTGCTATATTTGCGAAGAACAAGGAAGAGGTAGTAGAGCAAATGTGGGAGCCTGTATGCAGTGCAACAAGACTGGCTGCAGGCAGCAGTTTCATGTAACGTGTGCTCAGGCTCTCGGGTTGCTCTGCGAGGAAGCTGGCAACTATCTGGACAATGTGAAATATTGTGGATACTGTCAGCATCATTACTCCAAACTGGTAAGTGAAATCAGCAATCGCATTTGAAGCTACGTGAAACATTTTTATCTTGTTAAATACAATAATCTGTGTAATTCCAATTCCTTCGTTTGGACTTTCAGAAAAAGGGTGGTAACGTTAAGACAATACCACCGTACAAGCCAATACCAGCAGATAATGGCTCGTCAGACTCATCTCCTGAAAAGGAAGCAGAGACCCCGATTAAATCTTCGTCAAGTGGTAAACGAAAGAGTTCAAGTTCCAAATCCACTACAAATTCTAAAAACAAATCAAATACTAGTCCAAGCCTAGAAATAAATGGCGTAGCCGACGACAAAACCGGCAGCGGCCGTAACACACCCAAAGACAACACCACAAATTCCAGTAAATTCACAACTTCAAACTTCGTAGAGACAATCGTGACCCAGTCGGAGAGCGTGTTCGGCCACGACGGCACTGCCTCAACCACTGCCTCGGGGACGATTAAATCGGGATCGAACACGAGCTCCAGCCACAAAAACAGTGGGGGGCAAACGAAAACGAACACGTCGGCGTCGAGCAAGTCGTCGAGCCACAATAAAAAGCGAAAGACCGGAGCGCGTACGCCGACCGTGATTGGTAACGAGAACTCGAATCAGTCGGTCAGCTCCGAGGCAAGCGGCTCCGTTGTGGTTGCTGTTAGCTCAATCGTCCAGCAAGCTGTGTCCACCAACAATGTACAAACAACCATAACAGAGGCCACGAGTCTGAGCACGACCACGGAACCGGAAAAATCGAAAAAGGTATTTGAGCTGCTGCCTGATCTTTGAGAATAAGGTTTAATGATAAGGATAGATAATTATCTAGATTGAGAGTTTCAAATAACGAATATAAAAAAAGCTTCAGCATTCTGAATCGTTTGAACGTGGAAATTCCAATTTTTATAATAAAATAAATACTTCTCGAATGAGTCGACATTTGACAAATAACTATTTAATCTCGTTAACTGTTCAAAGTTTTGGATGATACCCTTAAATACTGCAGCTTTTCAGTATGTGGTATTCAAGTAAAATTGTGCCCACCTATGGGTCTAGATGTATGTACAGTAACTCATCGATGAGTGTTTGAAGGCTCCTCTGCACTAATAACAACAGGTCCCCAAACGTAACGCTGACTTTGTAATGAGGTTTAGAATAGTTAAAAATCTTGCAATTCTAAAGACAATGATATTTATTTCAACGGCATATGGCCATTAGTTTATATAATATTTAATGTTCAGTGCCGAGGAGCCTTCAAACACTCATCGAGGATTTCCTGTTTACGTTCAGAAGAATGTTTCGTCTTTCCTTGCACATTTTCTTACAAATATATAGATTAAAAAAACCGTATATCAGAATGTGTTTCCAGTTATGAATGGATGATATATAATTTACATTCAGGTACACTTTGGTACCCCTATCACCTGTATCTTGTTTTTCCTTTTTTCTTTTTCAGTTGAAAGTCGAGAGTCCCATTCAGTCTTCGTCGAACACACCAGTGAGTACAGAAGCGACCACCACACCTGTGATAATGGCAGTAACGCAGTCTCAGTCTTCAGTCGTTACACAGTCACCTACGACTACTTCGAACAGTATAGTCGTCTCTGTACCACTGACTGCGACCTCGCTACCCAGCACCGTGCAGAGCGTAGTGACGAGTGCTCCAACGTTGTACCAACAGTTGCAACAGAGTATAATCACCACAGCAGCAGCTACGGAACCAAGGTCCAGTGCTATGCCCAATCCTGCTGAAGATGCTCCTGCAAAGAGGTCCCGGTATGTACATATTTAATTTTTAATGTAAATATCATCTCGATTCTGAGGATCACTTTTATTCACACGTTAAATATTCCCGTTTAATTTATAAATTCATTATTATTGAAATATTGCGAGGTGTTCGGTTTTTACGGTTTTTAAAGTGAATACGAAAATACTGATAGTACTGTTTCCTGGTTCCAAACGCGCGCCAAAACGGGAGGCATCAAAATGGCTGTCCCATTGGATAAACAAGCCACTTTACTCCTAACCTCATCCCGCGTATAGTAAAAATTACTCAGGTAGAAAAATTTGTGTATGGTCTAAGAATTTATAGTGCCAGCGGGAAAATTGCCTCGTCGGGGTCGAACAATGTTCAGCGAATCTATCGGGACCGGTGGTGATAATTGCAAGATGGTTATAACAACATTGTTCTGGATATACAAGGGGAAATAATATCAGGCGAAATTTTTCAGTTCGCACGATTTTTATCACGGCGTTTGTCTCACGGATCTCGAAACTGTATCAGTTTCGCGCGGAATCCGGTGATTTCGTTCACGATTTCCGACTCGTCTATAAACTTTAAGGACACTGAGGTTATGTTTGTTTCTTCTACCTCAAGGGGCCTCAAGGGCAACGAACGGAGAAAAGGAGTAACGTGATGTTTTAAATGGCAGTGCCTAACGGTCCGTTTACATAGTATTTCGTAAAGCTCTGAATTTAATCAAATTTTCGTTTTTTTCTACATGAATATTACTGTGACAGTGTATTGAATTTGATAAGGTGTAATCTGAAGTGTTCATGTATATATATATATTTTTTTTTTTTCATTTGTTCTGTGATCTCATCCGGTAGAGCTTATCTAATTTTCTTTGCCTATTGTGTCACTGAGTTCTGGTATCGTTACATAATAGAATTCAGGTTTCTGTGCTCCTTTAGCTCTCAGTCGTCAGACAAGCAGGAAAAGTCCCGGAAACCAAAGCGTGGCTCGTCGAATAGTCAACCGGCACTGTTGCAAGCACAGCAACAGTCGCAGCATCAACCACCTCATCTGACAGCTTCCTCTGTGGTAACATCGGTGTCCAGTTCTGCTGTGGTATCGACATCCAAGAGAGGGGGAAGAAACAATCATCAGACACCACCACCTGCTGTAACTGTGGCACCAGTGCCATCCATCATACAGGGACCCACGTTGAGTGGAGGTCATTTCAGCAGTGTTGGTATCGGGGGAGCAAATACGATGGGTCCTACTGTTAAAGAGTCCCCTCCAAGCAGTCCTGGTTCCGAGAGTATGAGCAGTACTGGACCAGGAAGACGGAAAAGGAAGAGTGCCAGTGCAGCGTCCACAACACCTACACCCTCTGCATCCAGCACACCGACACTCACCAATCCTAAAGAAGAGAAGGATGTCAAGCTGTAAGGAGCAAACCTTCTCCATCGTCAAGGTGTCATTATATATAGATACTAATTCAGGATGTGCAACAGGTTTCAGAATGGAGTCAGTGCACCTCACATGTTAGGCAATCAGCTGAATCCATCTTCAACAATGGCGCAGAAAATGTCTGACACACTGTCTCAAGAACTGGAGGCTCACTCTATTTTCACGGAAGCTAGTAATTCTACCCAGACCTTAGTTGGCCCACAGCTGCACAGTCGAGTTATAGCATCTGTATGTAATTTTCATGTGTATTGTGATACTCTTGGGGATATGTATGGAAATTGAGTGATTTAAAAGTTTTCCCATTTTAATCGTGTGCTCGTGTTTCACAAGCAGATACGATCGAATCAAACGGGTGCACCACCCACGTCGTTTTCGTCGGTGTTCAACACAGCGGGCAATACCAATACGGTCACCAATGCCAGCGCCAGTACAAGCACCACCAACGCGCTGGGTGGTGGAGCAATACCTCAAACACTGGATCAGCTACTGGAGAGGCAATGGGAGCAGGGCAGTCAGTTTCTCATGGAGCAGGCCCAGCACTTTGACAGTGAGTGTACGGCAAGGAAAAACATGCTTCCAGTCGCATGGGTTTGGTGATATTAGGGATCTCTAGTATCGCATGTATTTATTTCAGAGCAATACCACATTTACTAATTAAGGGTTAAACACTGATGCTTGCTAGCTTGATAAGTTCAGCACATTATCAACGAAAGAAGATTAATTTTACTTTCACATTCTGTTCACAGTCGCCTCTCTACTGTCCTGTCTTCACCAGTTAAGAGCAGAGAACCTTAGGCTAGAGGAACATGTAAATAGTCTTTTACAGAGGAGAGATCACCTATTGGCTGTGAACGCTAGGCTCGCTATTCCACTGACCAGTCAACCCAACACACACCCAGGTACCTAACCCCTACTTTATCTGGGTCATAACTCGAACCAGTCAGGATCTTACTTCAAGAATAATGATTTTCAGCGAATAATATACATCCAACGGTCAATCCATCTCATCCAAGCATCCCTCACCCCGACGTCCCACCAGGTGCTGCTGCTCCAGTGCCTCGAGTCACCAGAGAACCACGAGTGAACAACACGTACATGCCTCATTCCAGTTCCAGTAACCATTCTGCAACATTGGAGAACGGCTTACCACCCGATCCATCGCCACCAGCCGCAGCCTCGTTGTCCCAGTATCAACACAGGACGTCGCTGGTTGCACCGCAACCGAGTCCCACGATCAGGTAACGTGTCTATCCCTCCGAAGACACTGCGGATACAGGTGGTACAAATTTAGTCTTCGATAATTGCGAACAGGCACAGCCCAGCCGGGAGCGGTTACCATCAGGGCCAACCGAGCAACATAGTCTCCCCTGCGCCAGCTAGCAATCCTGGAGTGGTCAGGAACTCCTCCGTCACTCCAGATCCGCTGCGTGGAGTACCAAGGTGGTAAAATACGTTCCTTCTTCTTTGTATCATTGTCATCTTTGATCCTTCATAACTGGACTACAGGAGTTTATGCAAAACTCTAGATACTGATGTCTGAAAATTAAAATGGAGCACAGTTTTGAATTCTATTTTACTACATTAATAATAACTAGAATGCGGATTTTTATGCAAAGGTAATTTATAAAGACAGGAGAAATTATAGAAATTTATTTACCCTAAGTATCTTATTACGTTCAGACTAAAATAGAGACCTCGTTGGAATCGATGAAATTTTAATTTTTTATTTTATTTCAAATTGGAATATTAAACACATAATAATTAGATCCACAATTTAATTTTATAAAGACATAATGCATAAACATTTGCAGAATATTCGTGATTGCATTGAAACGGAGTCGATATGAGTGATCCATTTCCATTTTTTTCAGGTCAGTGCCACAGTCATCGAGCAATTACATGTCCTCGATGTACCAACCACCCACTATGTCCAGTCTGACGAGTAATCAAGTAGGTAATGTTCATAACCTTCATTCACATGGACCTTCTCCGCCCAGCCACGGACCACCTGGGAAACCCAGCTGAAGATAGGCGGATGGATCGGAGATATAGAAGCGTGCTGGATCCTCTGGGATACGTTGGTAGGGCTGAGAGGCTTCTGATCGTGTACTGGGTACCGAGAGAGAGAGAAAAACGTGTTTGTAGAAGTGGAAAATCGCCAGGTCCCTCGGGGGAATTGACCCGTGTGCTTCGTTGTATTTGACCTCAATTTGTTACCCAGCAACTTGTGTCTCGATTGATCGTGATTGGATAGGTTAGGCTTCGACGATCCGCAACTCTGTACCACAGAATTTCTCATTAACGAACAACCCACCAGTTGCATTTTATCGGTGATTTTGTAATTTGTAATATTTCCGAACACACGCAATTTCTATCGATTATTCGAGAAAGACACATGCGAGCACGGTAAATAGTAGAGGGTAGTTTCGAACGAAGTATCGCAACCACTTCTTTTGTTTACACTTCACAATCTTTTCTCCATTTTTCTTTTTTTTTTTTGTTTTATCCGTTGGTTGCGCATCGTGGAGCACGTCTGAGACAATCTCCTCATCGTTGACGAGAACAGAGAGAGAGAGAGAGTAACAGGGGAAACGCAGATGTACAAATCTTAGGTAGTAAGTTTAATCTGTCGCGGCAAAAATAGCAATAATATTTACATGTAGGTGTACATTTTAATCGGAGGTAATCGCTAGTAAGTCGGACGGTATGCCCCACCCGTCGTTATGTTATATTGAGGCGTTTATTACAACCGACGTCGGTTAGCTTCTTCTGTTGGATGTGAATTGTTCGAGACTTGGATCGCACAGAGTGCTCAGGGAACTGAATGGGAACATTTTTGGCTGGAACACCGGGTAGTGTTTTACAATATTGAATTTTTAACAAAGTCCAGATTTTATCCGACGAATACTGACACTTTATTAACTCAGATAAGCCTATTATTGTTTTAGAAGGATGACTACGAGGTATTTTTGCTGCATGTTATATCTGGCCCAGTAGAAGGATGACCGTATTTTCTGAAAACTAACTGATAATAATACAGAAATTTAATTAGTACCGTAAGTTAGGGTAACTTTGTTCCAAACTCAAAAAAAGTTTCTTTTCAATTTTACATGTATTTTTATTATAAAATCGGAAGTGAGCATTTTCCGACTTGGGACAAAATTAATCTGAGTCAAAGTTACCCCAACCAGAGGAAATATTATTTTGAAGAAATTCAAGCTTATCTCTGTTAATTTATCTTTCAGTCATGGCAGTTCCAGACTCCGACCCATTTCCCCTAAAAATATTCAATTCAGCCTGCTGAGTACGAAGTGCCGTTTCAATTCGAACTGCAAACTTTCAGCGCCCTATAGTTTCAATTGCCACCCTTGTGTATTTTCTGTGGATCCCTCTGGCAATTTTACAGGAGTCTCCAACCTAGTTCATCAAACACAGACCCGACCTGTCTCACAGTGGTCACCTGTATATTCTAATCTTATACATAGAACATAGTTGTACGACACGAGCACTGCCTTCCACCAATAACGTGTCGCTGTGGGACAGATCGACCGAATAGGAGGATCCTTCTTAATAACACTTTGTTGGTTTTAATTCCATGTCCACATCTGCCTCCACAAGTGGTCAAAGGAGCTTAATTCTCGAGAGCAGTTGAGAATGGTTTCGTGATGTGTAATATATAGATTCGTTCGATTTTTTCGATCAATTTTGGCCACCGCCCACTTGGTTCGACGACCTTGATCGCTGTGCTCTAGCAGTTAATCTCAACAATTTGTTAAACGTGTCCGTGGATCTGTTTTTTTTCGGGGGTGTGTGTGTGTGTGTGTGTGTGCACCGACAAGGACTTTCGCTCAAGGAACTAGATCAACTATTTCTACTACGAAAATTCGGCTTAATTGTGACGTGGTGTTTCTACAGTACTTTGGAGTAATTCCTGTCGCTGGAAGCTGAAGAACTTATAGTAGCCCTACGTTTTTATTCTTTTTGTTTTTAATTACAAATAAATTTTTACCGTTATGCGTGACAACGCGCTCAGCTACCATGCGACAAGAATCATCGTGGGGCGTTCAGATTTGGTGGGAAAACGGTGGGTCGCCTGTTTCGATTCGATTGAATATCCACAGGAGATGAGAAATCTGTCTTTGCGTCTGGGGACGAAGTTGAATTTTAATATAAGAAGTTTCATTTCTTCTTTTATGTCACTGCCTGGCTAGATTATTTATTTCGTTGCGGAGAAACGAAATTTGTTTTTTTTTTTTTTATCGTGGTAATGTTTACCCGTCTCTTGTGTTCCTTATTTTGTAATTAGACGATGGCGCGGAAAGACAATTTTATTTTGAGATTGATCTGGACGTTTTTCGGTCTTGGGATTGGGAGATCCGATTTATTACTCGGTCCGAATGTGCATGTGTTTGGAATACGGTTTTTTTTTTTCTTTTTTTTAGGACTTGTTCCCCATGATTGATAGCGATATGGGAGACGTTAGTGGTAGAATGTATCAGACCCGCAGGAGATGGCTCGTCACATCGCTCAGGGAAAATTCGATTTACTCTGTACTGAATTCGATCGTGGATTTTTGTTCGTGTGGCGTCGACTGTGTAAAATTCTTACTGGATTATCGTAGTATCGTACCTACCGTAATTTTCTACCTTAATGGTTACTGGTGTGGCAGTACTCTCAGGGTCTCTGCAAAAACAAGCCGGCACTATTAAAAGTAGCCGCTCTAAATGAACTAAAATATTGTACATATAAGCGTAAAAAAAGAAACCTGTAATTCGACGATTACTGATTAAACAGAATATTAATTTAATCGTTTTTTTCTATCGTGATCATTATTGAATAATCGGGTGTTCCGAGAAGGAACAGTATCGGACGTATGAATTTAATATTTTTATTCGCAGTGACAGACTGGTACAGAATTTTGGAACTCGATGGGGAAGATCGAAAAATAATATGGAATTCTTTTAGTGTTCGTCGAGGACGAGAGTGAGTGCGTTTATACCGATGATGAGTATTTTACGAATTATTCATATTGGAACATCTCAATCTCTTAAACCAAACGTTGATCCGTTTAAGATGTTGGGCCAGGTCCTTTGTCAGGACATTCTGTAGCTGTACGAACCTCCCTTCCCCCCCCCCATTTTACTCTCACCTCGATCATTCATGCTGCAACGGTGTGATTCTCTTTTATGTTCACTTCGAAATTGTGTACAAAATAAATTATTGTGTTCATGATTGACATTCGGAGCCTCGTCGCTTGGAAATTCGACTTCAAATTTGACCAAAGTCTTTTCCAAATCGTGGGATTCACTGGGTTTAACCAAAGCCATTTTCTGCAGGAAAGTCGCGTTAACTGCCCTTGCGTCGTCCCCACCATTGCGGGGATTTCCTCTGGAGCCAGTCAAACGATTAAAAAATAGTAAACAACCTATGTAATGATGACAATTCTTTTATTTCTGGTTCATTGTTAATGAAACGTTTCTTACAATATTGATGAAATTTTCCTGATTGAAATGCCAAGGCTCGGCACGTTTACTGCTCGCATGCGGTCTCGAGTTAACGCGCAGCTAACGCGACTTCTCTGTAATAAGAGTTTAAAATTAACTTAGAATTTTACTAATAACTGGTCTGAAGATTGAATGTTTTCTTTTTTGTTATTTAGTGGAATTACGGTATCGTTTATTGTCATATAGACCCAGTAATCCCAACAAAATTTTTCTATACGTAGCTTTATTATATCTGTACGTATACATTCATGTACCGCAAAGGAACCCGTGCGTTTATAGTGTAGAGCCTAGAAAAATTGTTCAGAGCCACATTACAACCTCGTTAGGAGGATGAACAAAAGATACACATGTTCGTTCCAAAATCGAACCACGAGGGTTTCGGCGACGTTTGTACAAATTTTATAACAATCGTGAATACCGCTAGGACCGCTTTAGAACCAATGTTGAACGGGTTACAAAAGCCCCGTCAGAAATTTAATTTCTCAACCGAGACTGAAATCTTGATTTTCTATGGGCTGAGCGACAACTCGTGAAAAATAAAATAAAGCGATTGGCCGAAATTCTCGACAAGTGTACCGTGAAACATTTTGATACTCTACGACTAACTCAAAAGTAATGAAAAAAAAAAAATAATTACAAAATACTATGTGTGTGCAAATGAGAGGGCCACGTTTGCGATGCGTGTTTTCATTTTTCTACGAGAAAGTGAGAGAGTTCAGCGAACGTTTGTATGGGACTTCTGGGCGAATTAGGGGCTCGTTGTAAAATAAACTTCACCAACGGAGACTGGCGTCGACCGGAAGCTCCTCGAAACGGGGAGCATTCGTCTAGGTGCACCTTGTAGGTTTTTCCAAAAGTCACGTGGGGGGTCAATTAGCGCGCGGAGAATTGTAAAAAAAAACAGTACTGATCCATGCATGTCACTTTTGGGACAACCTGCAAAAAAACAAACATGTAAAGGCGCTAGGGCTGCTCATGTAAAGAAAGGAAATAAAAGGAAAGGGTGTATCGTTGGAGGATCGTCAGGACAGTTCAAAGGTGGCCCAGCCTGGTGTGTGTATGTGTGGTTTTTTGTACATTTTCAAAAAAAAAAAAAATTGATCCTGGCAGCTAAGGAAACCGTATCTTTGCCTATGAAAAATGCCACCTTTGTATTGTCACTGAAAACGTGTGTGTCTATGTTGTACCCTTTAAATATGGAGAGAGGAATGCCATATGTGTTTCCATCGGTGAATATTTTCTATCAAAGAGGATTGATTGGTCATTTGTAACACCTCGTTCGCCTCTTGGGACTTCACTTTGTATGCCTGAGGCTTTTAGATTGGTCAATTGGATCTGGTTTGGAATTGAATTTTGTTTTAAAATAATGGAAATTTCAATTTTCTTTATGGTAATTCAAACAGAATTAATAGAAATTTACGCTGACAATTGGAGTCCTGGTTGAGTCACAGGTTAATTATTACAGATCTTGATCCTTCTTAAGGTGTAAAGGTTTCCAAAATTCTAAATCCTTATGTGGGTTACAAGTACAAATTCACTCAATACTA